ATGGTCTCAGTCCCGAAAAAGGTTTCCAACACCTCCTCTCACTGGTCTCATTTCACTCCCGAGCTTATTTTGAACTCCGTGACCCTCTATGCTTCTAAAAAATTATAAAGAAAATAACTGAAATATGTAACAAGATCAAACAAAACACTTCTGAAACCAACAACACCTTTCTGGTCTCCTAGACTGTCTTTCCACAAAAGATTCCTTTTTTGTGAGACGGGAGAAGAGAGAGAAGAGGCAACCACTCTCTCTAGAAGCCTCCAAATCAAGCAGGACTTGAACCGCCCCTCACAAAAAACTCCAAGGAACCCTAAAAAATTAGGGCGCCACTTCCTAGGTCAAAATTGAAGAGTCGAACAGAAACAGGCTCTCTCCCTTTCTCTAGTTTTTCCTGATTTTGATGAGAAACCCTAGACCAGTTACAGGGCACACAGATCCACCAAAAAATCAAAAAACTTGGCTTACCTGAGAACTTCGATCAGCCTCTTAAATCACTATGCAATTGGCCGATCTAGGGCTACATGAGGAAACAACTCAAGGAACCTTCGGCCTGTTCAGATACCAAGTAGAAATCACTAATTGTAGATTTAGTTGAATTTTTGTAAAAGAAAAAGGGGAGGAAGATAAAGATTTCAGTAGTAGAGAAGATAAGAGAGGGAGAAAAGAGTAGGAAGTCAACCTGGATTCTTAAAATTAACCCTAGCCGCCAACCCCTCATTATATTTATACTTAACTTAAAGGATGAACTAATGGGTCTAAAGCCCAACAACTTCCTAACTAAATAGCTTAAAATAAGAATAAAAAACAACTAGGCCCAACTCAACAATAATTAATTATTATTTATTTTTTTTATTCTAAAAATAAAAAATAAAAATATATATTAAAGAAGAAATTTCAATTGCTCTATGGATATGATAGATAAATCTATAGATCTAAAACATATTGAGTCTTTATGGGCAGAGGAAAAACTTCATTCTCAAATTTTTTGTTAATTTATATTTCCCCAAATATTTTCATGAAATTTAAATCTATTGATAGCACAAAAAAAAATTATGATTTTGAGTGTAAGAAATGTAGATCAACATAAATTTAAACATTCAAGAAAAATATCACAAGATATTATAAAAGATTGAAAAAAATTACCTATTTTTGCCATATTTTTTAAAAAATTGAAAAATCTTTACAAAAATTAATGATTCACACTTGTTTCTTGCAGAATTTTGCAAATCTAGCACTCTAGGAATGAAGTTTGGAGTTTTAAAGTCATTTTGGGGTGAAAGAAGGCTTATTTTGGGGAAAAGAAGCTTGCTTTCCCCCTTTATTTTTCTTTAGTTTTTTGTCGTATCTTTTTTGTCGATACGCTACTGATATGCCCCCGATACAGGTCCAATACACATGAAAAAAGATGAAACGTCCGATTTCCATGCATATCCTGTATCGGTTTTTAAAAGATACAATACAATACACCCCGTATCAGGCATATCGTATCAAAATTTAAAACCTTCTTTTTGTGTGTGTGTGTGTGAGAGAGAGAGAGAGAGAGAGAGAGAAAAGTGTTCTATGTTGTGAATTGTTTGTAAAATAGATTTAATTACACCAATTTTATAGATTTTGGAGAGCCACCATGAAAAGGAACAAGTCTATTTGAAGAAACTCCCTATACAGTGACATATTTGAATTATGTAACTATTTACATTTGCTTAATAGTTAATGACTATTAACATTTAAATGATGTCCCTTGATCATACTTGACCAAATAGTTGCCATTGGATTTAATTTAAAACACCCACAACCATATTTTAGCCTTCCAAAAGTATTCCATCTCACATATGTGTGAATTTGTGTGGTTTGAACCCAAATCAAATATAATTTGTAACTGCTAGTGCACCTGCAATTGTGATTTGCAACTATGGTATATAATTGTGATGGCAATCATTCTTGTGATAATAATCTTACCTATGGTTAGAATTGTGATGATCATCTCACTTGTAATGGCCATCTCACTTCACCTTGTCTAAAAATATATAGCCTCTTTTATGGGACCACATAGATGCACGCGAAGGCACTTTTGCACTGCACACACACACGTAAATGCATGCACATGCATTGTATGGTAGCAAATCTCTATACTCTCCTCTCCATACTTCTAAGGCCTTGTTCATTCACTGGTATTTAGTAGGGGTAAGTTGGTCAATAGGTAAATTGATCATGATCCTCGTGTTCATTTATTGGTATCAAGTAACTAATACCCTCTTGGAAGGTGGGTAAGCAACTTGCACATTGATAATGGTCTCCTTGCCCACCTCTCTCTTTACCCAAGTAACTTGTATCACACAAGAACACTACCACTGAACTTACTCAAGTAAGTTCTACCTAAGAAACACTTGCCCAAATAAACACACTTACAGGTAAGTGAAAACAAAACGGGGCCTAAGGAGTGTACCCATATTCTTTTGTTTACTCGTATTCGTACATCTTTTGTTTACCTAGGAAACACTTGCCTGAATAAACACAGGTAAGGAAATACTTACCCTGGTAGGTGTGTTTTGTCATATTCTTTTGTTTCTCAAATAAGTTACACAATGGTCATTTTACCCATAGAAGTCATTATTAAAAGAGTTAATAGGCAATTTTGTCCCATCATCATATATGGGTAACTCGAAATGTTATTTAACCACATGAGTTATTAAAGAAAAGCAAGGTTTTTAAAACCAACCCAGAGAATGAACCAGTCAGGGGTCTAGTTCTCAGATCGAATGGCCCGATCGTTCGAACCAAACAGTCGGCCCGTTCTGACAAAAGAAAATTTAAAAAAATAAAAAATGATCAAAACCATTCGAATGGTTCGAACAATTAACCACCCGGGTTAGCGGTTTGCTGACCAAAATCAACGGTTTTTGGGAAAAATCCGGTTTTGGGGAAAAACGGAACTGATCACCTAACCGATTCCTATTTTCCAGTCCAACCGTCTGGTTCAGTCCGATTTTGAAAACCATGAAGAAAAGTCATTTATCATGAGACCCACAATTTGTCAAAAAAGAAAAAAACTGTTGGTCAATAGAAACCACTTCCACATTGACCAATGGAGTCCAGATCTGCTCCTCATAGAATGCGCCTCGCACCGACCTTACAGTATGTCCTGGCTACACATTGGGAACATCTCCCATACTTGTATTTATTATTCTTGAGGAGATTTTCTCAATGCAAGATGGGATGTGGTTGTGAGGTCGATGGAAAGCGCGCTTTGTGAGGAGCAGATCCCAATTCAAGTAAATGATATCCATTTGGGTGGATAAATAAATTTTTTACCTACAAAAAAAATAACTTTCCTTAATAATTTTTATCCATTTGGGTGGATAAATAATAACTTTCCTTAATAATTTTTTACCTGCAAAATAAAAATAAAAGAAAGAGAAAATTTCAATTTATTACCTTAAATTTTGGGAGTAGTGTCAAGTTAGTACCCGGACTTTAAAATATATTACTGTAGTACTCAAACTTTCGAAAACTGTCAATTTAGTCTAAAACCGTTAACAGATGTTACATATGTATCATCTAATTTTATTTAGAATGTCCTCTGTGAAAATGACACAAATGACACGTTTTGAAGCTGAAGGTCAGACGACGGACGCGTAAAAAGGACTAGTAATTTATCTCAACGAGGACGGGAGCGAAGGTGTAGGCAAAGGCAGTGTCTCCAATAGCCTGAAAGACCCTCCACGTTTTCTCAGTTGTAGTGACATCCAATCCAACTTTGACCCCTCTGAAACTAGTGCTTACATTATGGTTTCTCTCTGCAAAATGAAGCCCATCCAAGAAAAATGAATCATCCTTTTTGAGAATCTATCCTTCTAAGTATATGTTGTTTCAGAGTTTTATGAATCAGTTGCTAAAAACCTGCAACTTTGGCTGCGGAGAGACCGATTCGTATTAGAGAATAAGAAAATGAAGGGATAGTGTGATGCGTCGCACTTGGCATGGTGGTCGTTCTTGTAGAAGTAGTTGGACATTTGAATTGCCTTGATTGAGAAAAGCAATATGAAATCAAAACCAGGCATTATCTACAAACAATTAAAGCCAAAATTGAATGAAAAGAAGTTAAGAACAACATTTAAAGCTTACAGGGCATCGGATTAAATTACTTACGCCATACTGATAGATGCAGTGATGGTGTATCCGATGGTAGCCCCTAGTYCTCTACAAAAGCTACCATATCGAGCTAATCTACAAAGATGAATCATTATTCCTCCTGAGAAGAAAAGGGAAAATAAAAAACCCCATTGGATTCCAAACATTCAAGAGAGACCCACTTGGTTTATCAATGTTTTGAACTTGAATTTTGAAAGGTTTGTTTAATTTCTCTAAAAAATCTCACCAAAACCAAGAACAGACTGGTTTCAGGAACTTTTTTTTTCTTTTCTTTTTTTTTACCTAGATTGGCTTTCACTGTAATTTAACAGGGTCAGGAGACCTGTAACAGTCGGCAAGTAGAACATATGTGAAACAAGTGATGACAGTGAAGAGTATGAGAGCAGCAGGTTCGGCTATCCAACCCAACTGAGTTACAACCCAAGCTAGGGAGAGAACCATAGATCCAATAACAATAGTAAATATGTGAGCACTTGCAATCATCAATGCCCGTTCATATCAAAACGAATCACAAGAAGTAAATATATTTAACTAATTTTCAAAAAGAATCTCATAACTGTTTTAACATCTAGAAACAATTACCAGTCCTTTTTACGCTGGTATTGGTTTTCTAATATTAATAGTCCTTATTTTTTTAATTTCTGATATTAGTTTTCTTTTTAACAACAAATTTTCCATCCACATGCTCTGGTTTAGTTTCAGTTTATAGGAAGAAGACAATGAACATCACGTTTCTTATTTTATTGATGTAGTACTAAGGGCAAGTACTAAATTGACAGTTTTCTAAAGTTTTAAGTACTCCAGTCACACGTTACCAACTTGACACTACCCCAACTTCAAGCTACTGAATTGAAATTTTCCCTATAAAAGAAAATAAGTAAATGCACCTACCGGATTCCTGCGTCCCTCGACTCTCCCGAAAAGCGCGAACGGACCTTAATAAAAAGTCGAGCGAAAAGGGTTATCGTCACGAAAAGCAAGGGTATCTGGCCGTGTTCAAAGTTACTCTGGAAGCGATTCATGAGAATATTTGATCAGAGATAACTATGAAACCTTTCAGAGAGGTTCGAACTTCGAACTAGTATTCCACAATTAGGTTTTTTTCGAGTACAAATATCGGGGGAGAAATTGGAGAATTATTTTTGGTGAAGAATGAACAAATGAGGAATTGAAGGAAAAGAAAATACTGCTTCGCGCCGGAAGAAGCTTGAATCTTTCACCTTCTGGTATCGCATTCTACGGTTTTTAGTTAAATACGTCTTTTGATGTTACGGGAAAGGCAATAGCACAACGGCACAACCAACACCATTTATGCTTAGTGCATATAACATTGGCACCGCTTTGGGTCGTTCGATCTAATACACCTGATCCAACCACCTGATACCCGGTGTTTTATTGGCAAACAATTATCCAGTGATCAAATACCTTTTGGCTATTTAAAAATTGTTAATGAAATTCATGGAACTTGGTGGAGTTTCCGGCATGAACTTACCGATTCGTTCTTTACTTGTCTCTGCAATCAAGAGCTCCACAAACCAGAAATCTCTTTCAAATGGGAAGTCTGTCCATGGACAGATCATCAAATTGGGATTCTTACCAGAAATCCAACTATTCAATCATCTTTTGAATCTGTATTCCAAGTGCTCAGATTTCGTATCTGCTCAGAAAATCTTCGATGAAATGCCTGAGAGAAATCTGATATCTTTTTCCACCTTCATCTCTGGATATTCCCAATCTGATGCACCTCAGTTGGCCTTGAATCTCGTACCGCATTTGCAGGAACACGGGCTTAGCTTGAACCAATTTGTCTTTTCAAGTTTGATTCTGGCGTGTTCAAAACTGAAACGAGTTAACGAAGGAAAGCAAATCCATGCTCAGGTGATAGTCTCTGATTTTGAAGCAGACCCATTCGTGAAAACCTCTCTGGTTGATATGTATTCGAAGTTTGATGACCTCGAGTGTGCAGTTTCTGTTTTCAATTCAAATCCAATATGTGATCCGGTATTGTATAATTCTATGATTTCTGGATTTGTGACATCCTGCGCTTATGAAGAATCACTCGAATTGTTTTCAGAGGCACGGCGTCATATTGATTTAAGGCCTACAGAGTTTACATTTGGAAGTATAATTAACGCTTGCTCCAATTTGAAAAGAGAGGTAGGTGAGCAGATCCATGGATTTACCATAAAGATCGGATTGGATTCCAACTGTTTTGTTGGGACTTCTCTCATTGACATGTACGGTAAACTGGGTGATATGGAAAGTTCGAAAAAGATTTTCCACGGCATCACATCCGTCGACCTTGCTTTGTATAATTCAATGATTGTTGGGTTTTCTAATAATGATCTCCATGAAACTGCATTGGAGTTCTTCAACAAATTGACGTTAGAATGCTTTAGTCCTGATGGCCGTACTTTTTCTAGTGCTCTTAAAGCTTGTGGCGGTTTGAAGTGTTTACCTTTGGGGCGAGAAATCCATGCAGTCATCCTAAAGTCCAAGTTTTGGGAAGATTTAATCATCAATACTGCTTTGATTGACATGTACGTGAAATGTGGGTGCTTGGAGCTAAGTTGTAGGCTGTTTGACTCCATGCCTGAAAGAAATACTGTTTCATACAATTCCATGATTTTAGGACAGGGGCAAGCTGGTAACTTTGACAAAGCAAAGATGCTATTCATTGATATGAATCAACAGGGTATACATCCCAACCATGCCACATTTGTTGTGTTGATGAATTCATGCCCAGGGAACCACTGGAGTATCTATGCTCATGCAGTTAAGTGGAGTTTTGGATTGGATTTGACAGTACAAAATACATTTTTGGATGGTCTAATCAAGGTGGGTGCAGTTTCTGAAGCACAATGGTTTTTCAATAAGATGCATGAAAGGGATGTTGTTTCCTGGACTACAATTTTATCTGGTTTGTCTCAGTTAGGTTTGGATTTTGATGCATTGGTGCTCTTTAAGGAGATGCAAATAGAAAGGGTCTGCCCTAATAGCTTCACTTTTTCGAGTGTTTTAAAGGCCTGTGGGAGTCTAGCTGATTTGGAACAAGGGAGATGTATCCATGGATGTAATATAAAGCATGGGGTTGTAGATAATTTCACAAATAGCTCTCTTTTAGACATGTACGCTAGATGTGGATCCTTGGAGGCAAGCTATAAAATATTTGAGGAATTATCAAAAACAGATATAGTTTCATGGAACACTATGATCACAGCATGTGCCCAACATGGAAATGGCTTAGAAGCTCTAAAGCTTTTGGAAAAGATGGAGATGCATGGAGTTGAACCAAACCAAACAACTTTTACCTCTTTGTTATCTGCTTGTAGCCATTGTGGTCTAGTAGATGAGGGAATTAATGTTTTTGAATCAATAATCTGTAAGCATGGTATGGTGCCCACCATGGAGCACTATGCATGCATGGTTGATATGCTTGGTAGGGCTGGGATGCTGGAGAAGGCTAAATGCTTGATTGATAACATGCCATATGAACCTGATGCACTAATTTGGAGGACACTCTTAGCTGCTTGTAAGCTTCACAGTAATGTCAATTATGCGCAGCTCGCAAAAGACTGCATTTTGCATGTAGAAGGTAAAGACCGCCCATCTCTCATTTTAATGTCTAATATTTATTCTGAGTTGGGCAAGTGGGATGATGTAGAAAGAATAAGAAGGAGAATAAGAGATGAAAGTTGTGGAAAGATACCTGGAGTGAGTTGGGTGCAGATAAAAGGGGGTTAAGAGGATCATGATTTATTATATTCTTCCCTCAACCACATTAAGTTTTCCTGGTAAGGAAAAGAGGGCGAGAAATCTAGAAATGGAAAGTACAAATAGCAGTTAAAATCATCATGGGTTGGAACTCTGCTCCTCTTTTCCCACAAGCAAAACAGGATCAAACTCCAGTCATTGTCTAATCCCTTTGGGGCAGTTTGTAGGCTTGTAGCTAGTTATATCAGGATGGGAATACTCTAAACCCAAATCTTCCATGTCAACCAATTAATCATGGCTTCAGTACGTCTACACATGTATTTTGGTAATTACAAATAGAGCAGATGACTAAGAAATTGACCATGTGTAAGGGCATATTACCTGTGCATGTGTACAAGGATATCAAGATCCAGAAGTTCCCTATTCCCTTTCCAGGTTCCTGCAGAAGATTCAATCGCCAAGATTAATTGGTTCCTACTTCCCACAACATTTGACCAGTGATATTCAGAAAGGTATCCATGAGTTTATCAGTCTCAGTTGGTCTGGCTGCTGCTATTGGTGGGTCTATTTATAGCCAAAGGACTTGGTTTGTTTCATTTCTGTCTCGTATTCATTCAGAATTTAAGCAAGCAATTGACTGCCTCAACCATTGTATTGTGAGCCCCAACCTATTTGGGGGGGTTGGGGGTACCCCACAAGTCCTCAAGCATGATTCTATTAAGAATGCAGTTGCTCTAATCAGGTGAAGGTCCCCTGGAACTCTCTATTAGCAAGGAAATCTTTTTAACTATTAGCAAGTGAGATTCTTTGTTATGCAAATGTTTATGCCCTAGCCAGTTTTTCTGTCTAATCTTTTCTTTCTGAAATTAGCAAGTATAATTCTTAAATCAGAAATTGAAATGTTCAGTCTTTTTAATTAATTTTTTGTTCCCTCTGTAATTTTGGACCAATGATTGATGAACACTCTAGGCTGCCATGGCTTACTGAGAGTTCACTTTATCATGTGTGAGTCTTTTAGACAAAGGGCATGTTTGGTTTGCTACTGTGATAGAACAAGAATTGGAAGAAATTGATGTCTTTCTATTGAGAAAATAGTACATATATATACAGCCTTGTAGATACTAAAAAGGAAGAAAATCATACAGYCTTGCAGATACAAAAAAGGAAGAAAATCATACAGCCTTGTAGATACTAAAATAGGAAGAAAATCAAAGAACGAATAATTCCTATAATCAAGCTATTCCTAATTGGGCTAATACTACATATTTACAGCC